TTAACTGCTTTGCAGCTGTAAGGTTCTATGGCAGAATCTTCCCAATTGCTGAATGACATGGCTCATGGCAAGAAATTTGGGAAAATCAGTGAGATTTCAAGTAAGACTCTTCTTGATACCAAGACCAAAGGGTCTGTTTCTGTGCTGTATGACTCTATGACTCTATAAGACCAAAATATTGTATTTTCCAAACAGGTGTTGGATGTTGAGCTGAGATTCTCGCTAGTGCATGGCGAGTGGTCTAATAACATGGGTTATCACTATTTCATAGATTCATACAGCACAGAAAAGGCCCTTCAGCCCATTGGGTCAGCACTGACATAACTACCACTAAAAGTGCGCTACTCCCAATTTCCTGCACTTCTCCATATCCTTAAATGCTATGATTTTTGAAGTACTCATCCAAATATTTTTTAAAGATTGTAAGGATTCCAGCCTCTACAATTTTCCCAGGCAATGCATTCTGAATTCCCACCAGCCGCTTAGTGAAAAGATATTTTTCCCAAATCCCCTCTGAATCTCCTGTCCCTTACCATAAAACTATGCCCTCAACCAAAGGGAACAGCTGCTCTTTATTCACCCTGTCCTACTCCTCATAATCTTATACACCTGAATCATGTCCCCCTCAGTCTTCTCTGCTCTAGAGAAAACAATCCAACCTTATCTAGTCTCTCCTTATAGCTCAATTTGCCCATGCCAGGCAACATCCTGGTGAACCTTCTCTGTACCCTTTCTCATACTATCCTTCCTATAGTGAGGGGACCAGAACTGCACACTGTACTCCATTTATGGCCTGACCAACACTCTGTACAATTCCAACATTACCTCCTTGCTGCTATGCTTTACATCACCACTGATGAAAGCAAGTGTCCCATTTGCCTTTTTATTTATCCTATTCATGTATTCTAATGACTTCAGGGATCTGTGAATAATTACCCCTTGATCCCTCTGTTCCTCTAAGCTACCCAGTGTCCTGCCATTCATTAAATACTCCCTCAACTTGTTTCTTCTTCCAAAGTGCATCACTTTACACTTTTCAGGGTTAAATACCATCTGCCACTGGTCTGCTCAGCTGACCAACCCATCCATATCTTCCTGTAACCTACAACCATCTTCTTTGCTATTAACCACTCTACCAATCTTAGTGACATCTGATCCATCTTGCCAAGTTTCCCTTAATTCTATATGCTTTAACCTTCTCAATCGGTCTCCAATGTGGGACCTTGTCAAAATCTTTGCCAAAATCCATATAAACTACATCAACTGAATTTTTATAATTCACACACTTGATCATACTTTCAAAAAATCCCAGCAAATTTGTTAGACATGACCTCCCTCTGACAAAGTTATGCTGACTATCCCCAATTAACCCATGCCTTTCCAAGTGGGTACTAATTTGTTCCTTCAGAATTTTCTCCAATAGTTTCCCTACTGCCATAAGACTCATCAGTCTGTAATTTCCGGCTCATCCTTACCACCTGTTTTAAAAAGTGGAACCACATTAGCCATTCTACAGTCCTCTGACACTTGCCTTGTGGCTAGAGAGGAATTAAAAATTTGGGTCAAAGCCCCTACAATTTCCAGCCTCACCTCCTACAGCAGCTCAGGATGCAATTCATCCGAGCTAGGAAATTTGACTGTTTTTAAGCCCAACAGAGCCTCTAATACCTCCCCGTTTCCTATGTCAAATTGTGTAAGTTCCTCACAGTCCCTTTTCCTGAATTCCATACCTACATTCTCCTTTTCAGAGTGAAAACCGAAGAGAAATATTTATTCAACACCCTTCCAATATCCTGCAGCTTCACACACAGGTTGCCCCCTTGATCCTGAATGGGCCCTACTCTTTCCCTGGTTAATCTCTTCTCTTTAATGTATTTTTAAAATATCTTAAGGTTCTCCCTAATCCTGTTCACAAGTCCCTTTTTGCTCTTTAATGCTTTCTTAAGTTCCGCCCTGCACTTCCTGTATTCCTGTAGGTCTGCAGCTGAATGGCTCCTTTTGGACTTGCTAAAAGCTCTACTCTTCTTCTTTATTCCACACTGAATTGTCTAGACATCTAGAGTTCTCTGAACTTACTCCTACATTTTCCTCTAAAGGGTACATATTGAATGTGTACTCTCCCTGGCTTCTTTTTGAATATTCCCCACTGCTCCACTGTATACTCACCCACAAAGAGCTGTTCCCAGTCTACTGTGACCTGATCCTGCTTTATTTTAATTAAATTTGCCTTCCTCCAACCCAAAGCCATCTTTCGCAGGCCCTATTTTTCCTTGTCCAGAACAAATTTAAACTGTACCTTGTCATCGCTTTCGCCTACACGTTCCCCCAATTGCCACATCGAACATTTGTCAGGCTTCTTTTCCTTGAACCAGATCTGCACTGCATTGTCCCTTGTTGGGCCTTCAACATATTGATACAAAACAGTCCCCTGGATACATTTCAAGAAATCCATCCCCTCTAAACCCTTCGCGTTAAGACTATCCCTATTTATGTTGGGGAAGTTGAAATCCCCTATTATTACCCTATTATCACTCTTATGCACCTCTGTGAACTGTCAAAATATTTGTTCCTCTATTTCCTGCTGACTCTTTGAGGGTGTATAATACATTCCCAATAAAGTAGCTGCCTCCTTAACAAACCTAAGTTCCACTCACAAACCTCATTTGAGGACCGTTCCAAGATATCATCTTTCCTTATTGCAGTAATTGCCTCCTTAATTAGTAGTGCAATAGCACCACTCTTTTTACACCCTCATCCGTCTTGCCTAAAGATCCCATACCCTGGAATGAGATAGTAGGAACCACTGATGCTGGAGTCTGAGATAACAAGGTGTAGAGCTGGATGAACACAGCAGGCCATGCAGCATCAAAGGAGCAGGAAAGCTGATGTTTCGGCTGCATGGCCTGCTGTGTTCATCCAGCTCTACACCTTGTTATCCCATACCCTGGAATGCTGAGTTGCCAGTGTAGCCCCTCCTTCAATCATGTTTCTGTGATGGCAACAATATTATACTTGCATGTGTAATCCATGCCATTAACTCATCAGTCTTACCTATTACACTCCTGGCATTAAAGTAAAGGCCATCCAGCCTTGCCTTACTCTCTTGACACTCAACACAGCTGAACTCACTGTGACTTGCTTCCTTTGTTGTAGCATGGTGTGTCTCTGTTTCGTCGATATTCTTTGTCCCTCTACCCCTGCCAGACTAGTTTAAACTCCTGCCAACAGCACGAGCAAACCTAACTGCAAGGATGTTGCTCCCAAAGTAGTTCAGGTGCATACTGTCCCGTTTGTACATACCCCTGTTATCACTCTGTTTATTACCTAATCTAAACTTATTAATATGCAGTCTCCCATTCTACTACCCAAACTAGATGCTGAGAATTCTTCACATGAATGTCTTAGTGGGTACCTGGTGACTCCAGTGAAGAGGATAGTCCCCTCTGTATCACCCCTTCCAGGTTCTTGTCTGCAAAGTGGGGCACCAAGTTTGCCTTGTCTGCCATGGCCAGGGCAAATGTCTTCAAGTGTGCAGGGCAGGTCTGGTCAACCATCATTTAACTGGATACACAACTGTCTTTTAAATATGCTGCCAGTGCGAGGGAGCCTGAGGTATACCTGCAGTGCTGAGTGTCTCCATCCACAGTGAGTGGAGAATCCAATTAGCATTGGATAAGAGGGCATAGGGCATAGTACTGAGTTAATGAGGTGAGTTTGGGATAATTACACAAGTAAAACTTCTCAGCCCTGCAGAGGGAAATCCACCATGAAATTCAATAAAAATAATACTTACTTGATTTCTGGTAAAATCCGGCCCATAATCCTCTAATACGATTTCGAGAAAGATGTTATTCCCAAACAGGACTTACTTTACAAGCAAGACTTATTTTACAAAATTAATTTATTAACTTAGCACATAAACATGTTTAAATTTGCAGTTGCTGTGCTTTTTTTATTTATAAATGATATGGCAGGATGATAATATGCTCTGGATACAGTTATGACTGTTGCTTACATAATTGTTTCAGTTATTGTTTTAATATGCTAAGCAAATAAAAATTAATGTGCTAAATGTCTACTCATTATCTTTTATCTGTCTCTCTTTGTTTTGTTTGACCTTGTTTTCTATTGTTTCTTTTTGAGAAATATTCTCTTTCTCTGAAATATTACATAAATAATATAAAATTTTGGTAGAATTTCATTATTTGTCATTAATGCAGAATTCACATTTTTTGTCAGTGCAAAGCCACTTTTGATACAGCGATTGTGAAATATGAGACATCAAATGTTTGCTATTGCACCATTGCTGATAGGAAGGTGATAGCCTAGTGGTATTATCGCTGGGCTGTTAATCTATAGTCGAGGTAATATTCTGGGGAGCTGGGTTCAAATCCTGCCATGATAGATGGTGGAATATGAATTCAGTAAACACCTGGAATTAAGAGTCCAATGATGACCATGAATTCATTGTCAATTGTCAGGAAAAATCCATCTGGTTCATTAATGCCCTGTAGGGGAAGGAAACTGCTGTCCTGATCTGGCTTATATGTGACTCCCTAACCACAGTAATGTGGTTGACTCTTAGCTGCCCCTCTGGATGGGCAATTAGGGATGGGCAATAAATGCTGGCCCAGCCAGTGATGCCCTCATATCATGAATGAATTTTAAAAAAATTATATGCATTCTGTTCTTTGAAAATATGTGATGAATTGGAAGGCCTAAGTAATTTATAAAATGTAGCACTACTTTCTTTTTAAATGAGAACACATTAACTTCATATTGAAATCAGTGAAGTCCCATTTCATATTAAAATAAATCCTGGACGTAAATTTGTGATGCTGATAGTAATTGGTATACAACAGCAAGGAGACGGTTGTGAATTTTACTAATAATGCCACTGATTTTTTGTTCCATTGATTCATGACCTTGGTACTGTGTCGATAATATTCACGATGTCAGCCAACTCCTGACAGTCCTTTTGCAACACTGTTTTCACCTACCTGTGTGATATTGGACTTCTCTGCATGGCATCCAGAAGCATTGCCACTGCATCTCTGTCAAAATCTCTTTCTCCCACAGGGCTTCCTGCCATTTGGTACATGCCAACTTCCCGTAATGTTCTGCCGAAGGATTTAGGCCAGCCGAGAATTCCAGTGCAGATCAAGGACCGCTCTAAGTGGGACCAACAAACGTGTCAGTAATTGCATGGAGGATTAGGTGTCTGTGTGTGTATGAGTGTTTGCATGTATACAGTTAGATATATACATGTGTACAGGTGCATGTGTGCAATCTGAATAGGCGTGTGTCTGTGTGCTGAACTACAGAAACAACAGAGTACCTTTTGACATTCACATTGCTTGGTTATAGATGAGTACACTGATTGCAATCTGTTGAGTGGTGACCAGCAGCAGGTAACTGACATTTTAAACCAGTCCATCTGCTGAATGCCCATGTGCAACACCCCAGGAGATTTAACTACCCATAATAATTATCTGTGAAGAATATATTTTGGAATTATTTTGGTAATTGATTTCTGTACATTAAAACAGATTATCAACAGAATGCTGGAAGATGATTTGGAAGGTAATGCTTATTAATGAGAAGAACATATGTAGCAAAACCTCTCTGGTGATCGCTGCCGTAATGTGCAACTGTTAGTTTAATTGGAAAATGATGGGTGTCCCTTGTCACAATATCTGATTCTGAACCAATACCGTGTGCCTCTAAGGTAGTCCAAATGCATCCTTCAAAATTTGGTGCATACTAGAACACAAAAAAAATTAGCTGTCATTTTAAATGCTGAACTGTAAGAGAATAAGAATACACTAATCAAATACTTTAGGAAAGACAGACTACTGATGTTGAAGGCCTTAGATACAATATTGACAACATTCAGGCACATTGAAGGATGCCTCAGATCACCGGAGGCACCTGACTTGTATTTTCAGCATTCAAACTATTGTCTCCATGATCACTTGCTTACTCATGTGACTTCAGTTGTACCCCTCCCTCCTCTGCATAGATAGTAGGCCTCTCCAGTGATTTTAGCCACATCCTCCGATTGTGGTCCTTTTTATCACCAAGGATGCATTCGCTGAGTCTGCTTGGGGGTGTGGGTTGGGTAGGCCTAAGGGCGTAGGGGGTGGGTGTTGTCCAACCTACAGGAGAGTTTGCTGACTCAGAATGAAGGCATTCCTTCCTGAATATCTCGTGCAGAGAAGCAAGGTTATGTTCTGCAGTGAAGGCTGGCAACAGGTAAGTGCCTATCAAATAGAAGGAAGTCCAAGACAGAAAATCTTACTTCCAAAATCACTGCCAAAACAAAGAAAGCACATTCATGGGATGAGTCTTGCATCAAGAGCTTTTCACTTTGGCAAGGAAACAGCTTTCACCATTCAATATTTATACCTTCACTAGCCTGTCAGTTTAATCAGCGTGTCAATTCCCGCTGTGTTCCCATGTTGATGATACTGACAAGTTTCAGGTTGTCCAAACAATCCATATAAGGACGTTCAAAGCCAATATGCAAAGTTATCTTTATAGTCAGTTTCCTTTCTGCATATTTGTTATAAGTTCCTGTCCAATAAGGATTTCCATGTCCTTTGAAATGCACACTGGGCTCAAACACAGTGGTATTTCTTGCTTCTGCAATCTCTTAGAAATATTACCATGCAGGTTGAACATTGATGCCTTAGCTACTCTCTCAGGTGGACCTAAACAACCCTGTTAAAGTAGATAAATGGGATTTCTTTCCAATATTATTTGTATGTCTCAACCAATATCATTAAAAGAGATTATCTGTTCATTGTTTATAGGACCTTGATGGTAAAAATTGCCAGCTGTGTTGCCTACAACAGTGATAATCCTTATAAAATAATCAATGCACTGTAAAGCATTTGGTGATATCCTGAGGTCATAAAAGGGACTTTATAAATTCAAATTATTTATTTCATTGATGTGGACAAACTTCGATGGTTTATGGTCAGCAGATTTCACGTACAGAACCTGATTATTTATCAGCAGCAGAATGTTCCAGCTTGCCATATTGACTGGTTCATGTGGACCTTCCTCTGGCTTTGGCCTGCACACACTTTAATTGAATAGAAACTGCAGTCTGCAGAAACCCTATTCTTCTTATGATTCATTCAGATCTTTTTTGTTCTTTGAAACCCTGTAAACAGGAATAGAATCTTTAAAAAGTGCTTGTTCAGGTTGGTGGGGTGGGGCATTGTGATTCTTTAAATATTTACTTCCATGACGTTGATTGTTGGGCAGTCTGGCATAGAAAGTGTTAGACCTGCAATTCGTGACGTTTCCACAGGAGTACTGAGCCAGTGTAAGTTGCAGGACTGCCAAACATTTTCTTTCATTCATTGGTTTTCTTTTGGAACCAGGAGATTGTGCAATGGATAGAACTGTAGCACAGTCATTTGCTAACTGTGGACTCCATAGATCAGTTTAAGAGAGAGTCGACAAAAATAAAAACAGAAATTGCTAGAAAAACTCAGTAGGTCTAGCAGCATCTGTGGGAAGAAAGCAAAGTCGATATTTCAAATCTGGTGACTCTTCATTGGAACTGTTAGCAGCTGGGATAAAGTGGTATTTCTGCTGAAACTGAAGTTTGTGGGAGGGGGGAAGCAGAGAGAGTGGGGCGGGGGAAGGGGAGAAGTGAGCAGATAACTGGAGATGGAGCTCAGAGAGAGAAATACAAAAGCAGTAGGTAAACAAGAAGATTATGAATATTAGGGCAGGACATTGGTGAGGCCTCTTCTGGAGTGCTGTGTCCAATTTCCGTGTAATAGGAAGGATCTCATTAAGTTGGAGAGGGTTCAGAAGAGATTTATCAGGATGTTGCTGGGAATTGAAGATTTGAGTTATAAGGAGAGGCTGGATAAGCTGAGAGTTTTTTTTTGCTGGAGCATAGGAGGTTGAGGGGTGACCTTATTCAGATTTATAAAATCATGAAGGATATAGATAAGGTGAATGGCAGGTGTCTTTTCTCTAGGATAGGGAATTTCAAGATTGGGGGGCATATTTTTAAAATGAGAGGAGATAGATTTGAAAAAGACACGAGGGGCAACTTTTTTTTATCACAGAGAGTAGTTCATGTGTGAAATGAACTTCCATAGGAAGTGGTGGATGCAGGTACAGTTACAATGTTTAAAAGACATTAGGTAAGTACAAGAATAAGAAATGTTTGGATGGGCCAATCACAGACAGGTGGGACTAGTTTAGTTTGGAATTACGATCAGCATGGACTGGGAAAGGTCTGTTTCCATGCTGTATGATTCTATGACCCTATGACAGAGGAAAAGCTCAATGAGTGATAATAAGAGCAGGAGAAAACAAGTGAGTTTACTGAATGCAAACCAATTAATGTGGTAATGGGCCCAGGAGTATGTGAGAATGGGTGCCTGTGCTAAAAGAAACTCACGTGATAATAGGACTGGGCGTGGGAGTGAGTAAAGAACATGGAAGATTGGAATCAGGCTCTAAAGTTATTGAACTTGAGGCTGCAGGGTCTCCAAGTAGAAAATGAGATGCTATTCTTTGAGCTTGAGCTGAGGCTCACTGGAACACTGCAGCAAGCCTGAGATAGAAATGTCGGCATGGAAACACAGTGGTGTGTTGAAGTGGCAGGAAACTGGAAGCTCAGTGTTATTATTGCATAAAGAACTTAGGTGTTCTGCAAAGCAGTCACTCAGTCAGCTTTTTATCTCCACAGTGCAGAGCAGACCACATTGTGAAAAATGAATACAGCAGACTAGATTGCGTAAAGTACAGGTAAATCGCTGCTTCACCTGGAAGGTATGTCAGGGCCTTGGATGGTGAGGAGGGATGAAGTAAACGGGCAGGTGTGACACCTTCTGTGATTACATGGTAATATGCCATGGGCTGTGGGGAGGTGTTGGGAATGGAGAAGGTGTGGAACAGAATGTCCCCGAGGGAATGGCCTCTGCAGAACGCTGACAAGGAAGGGCAGGGAAATATGTGTCCAGTTATGGCATCCCATTGGATGTGATGAAAATGGTGGCTTATAATTCTTTGGGTGCGGAGACTGGTGGTATGGTGAGTGAGGGCCAGGGGGACCCTACTTTGGTGGTGGGAGGGAAGGGATGAGGTGAGAGCAGAAGTGGGGGAGATTGGCCGGACACAGTTAAGGGTCTTGTTGATCATGATAGTGGGGAGTCCCCAGCTGCAGAAAAAGGGAGTCCTGTAGGATGTTCAACATGTTTCATTAAAGAACATTATTCTATAGATAGCAAGTGGAGAGGATCCATGAGGCCAGAGAATGAGAGATACCATTTAAAGATAGTCACTTGAATCTAGGAAAACATTTTGCCTGGTCTGTCATCTTAATTTCTATTTCTTTTCTTTCTTGGCAATGATGTGTAATTTCCAAGTTACGGACGGATGCTTTTCTGCAGTTCCCCAATTCTCATTCTGTACCAAATGTTTTTCATGGTTGGAGATTATACCACAGCACCATCTATAGGATTTCTTCAATTATTTTCCATATCTTACAAATAAACCTTTTTGTGCCTGTGTACAACTTCTCCTTCCTTCCAAATAAATGATAATTTTGGAGTTGGGCTGTTGGGCTGGTGGAAGTGAGGTGCGGAGGTGCTAGTGATTTTCTCCTTCTGATTTCTTATCTAGTTTGTTTTGAATTTTCTGATTCTTGACTTGTACCCTATAGAAATCAAGACCTACAAATTAATCAATTCCTTGAAATCATACAAGTCTTCCCCGTTAGCATGCAGGAAACCAGCATGAGCTACTAGAATCTTGAAAATTTGGACCCTGGGGAAATTTTGATGGATGACCCAAAGGGTTGAATTTGACTATTTTTGGATGACCTTATCAGGGTGGCCTTGCTCTCTGAATGAAGTCGGTAGCCATTTTGAAAGGGGCCTCCTGCCAGACGTCTAACTCCTGCCTGATTCATGCATGATGAGCCTTATAATTAAAAACTTGGTGTCCAAGGACTTGAATGCACAGTACAACTGCTAACATCTGCAGGGGTGATAGAAGAGTCTCAGAAAAGTAAACTGTTCAATTATTTTGGTAGGACCCAGAGGGCCCTCAAAGACGCACTGATACAAAGTGTGACTGCAAGCCTGGGAGCCACATAACTGAACATGATTCACCCGCACCACCCATCTAATGTA